GCAGGAGCTAGAACTAGAGATGAGAGCTCACTCCATCATGCGGCACCCGGGTCTCGAACTGCTGAACTACCGACCTTCCACAGCCTGCAGTTCAGCGTCTTCCACAGCCTGCAGTTCAGCGTCTTAACCACTTGAGCCACCGCAGTTTCCTCTATGCCTTGTGGCTAATAGCCACTGGTGGACCTCTGCTCCATATACTTATCCAGTCCTCTCTTGAAGCTGTCTGTGCTTCTAACCACCATCACTTCCTGTGGCAGTGAATCCCACGTGTTAATTGCTCTTTGGGTGAAGAAGTCCTTCCTCTGATCTGTTCTAATCTTACCGCTCATTAATTTCATTGAGTGCCCACGAGTTCTTATATTATGAAAAGGACTTCTTTCTCTGCCTTCTCTATCCCATGCATAAATTTGTAAGCTTCTGCCATGTCACCCCTCAGTCTTCGTTTCTCCACGCTCAAGAGCCGTAACATCTTCAACCTTTCTTTGTCGGGAAGGTGTTCCACCCGCTTAATAGTTTTAGTTGCCCTTTCCTGCACCTTTTCCAAGACTAGAATATCTTTTTTTTTTAGGCTCCCTGTTTGTTTCCAGGCACAGTTGGAGGCGCTGGCGTGGACTTTTAAAGCCCTGTATGGTTTGGGATCTGAACGACTGCCTCCTCCTTTATGAACCTACCCAACCACTGTGGGTCCTCTTCAGAGGGCAGGCCACAGGGAGGGGAAAACAAACCTGACCCAAAAACTGGAGTCAAGAACCACAAGGGTAAGGGGGAAAAGCCTCATAAAGGGCCAATATTAAAAACCTAGCTGAACCTTATAATATAAAAAAATACATGTATTTATTAGAAAGACAGTTAAAAACGTATAAGGGCCCAATGAAAGCCTGGTTAAAAAGTAAAGGTGGCCTAAACACAAGTGCCAATACCAGTGACCTGAGACGTTTCTGTTTTTAACTGTCTTTCTAATAAATACATGTATTTTTTTATATTATAAGGTTCAGCTAGGTTTTTAATACTGGCCCTTTATTAGACTTCTTTCTTACCCTTGTGGTTCTTGCGTCCTCTTCAGAGGGCCTGTTTCGAGCGCCCCCACCTTCTGAGGTGAGGTGGGTGGCAACCAAGTGAGGGCCTTCTCGGCAGTGGCACCCAAAGTTTGGAACTCTCTCTCCGCGGAGATTCGCCTGTCCCCTTCTGTTGCCGTCCTCATTCCCCCCCGCCGCCCACCCGCTTGGATTTCCCTCAGCGATCCCTCCTTCCTCCCCGGCATTTTAAACGGTCGTTTTGATCTTTCGCACTTATCTTAAGCTCTGGTTCTAACTTGTTTTAACAGCTTTTCTCAGGTGAGGTTTCGGTTTGTACGTTTCAGTCAATTCGCTGCCTCGGTGGCCCTACAGGGCCCGAGAGGCGAGCTGAAAAACTTGTTAAAAATAAAATAATAATACGTGGTAATAATATGTCACAAGTGCTGTATGTTATCCAGGCGCATGGGTCATTTTGTAGAAAAAGAAGTGCAGGAGCTCATTAGCATAAGTAATTTGCATATGCCACGCCCCCTGGCATCACCGGAAGTGTGTCAGAAGGCAACACCCACCGCTCAGGCTCCACTGGACTGTTTTGGATTGCTAGCTATTGGGGGGGGGGGAATGTGCAGATCTGTCCTCACAGAGGAGGGAGAGCTTGTACCTGAATAAAACCAGATGTGTCCTCGTTGAGAAAAGAACACACCGCTTGTCCAGTGGACTTAAAGGCTGGGCCACGTGTTCCAAAGGAGCCTTTTGGCTGAGGCCCTCAAGTACCTCGGTCTCCTGGCAGACCAGTCCCGCTCCGCACGTCTGAGGCTGCCGACTGGCTCGCCTTGCCCTTCCTCCCCCGCATCACGGCCAGACACCAGCTACTTTTCTCGTTTTCCTGCTGTACGATTCGGAGATAAAGCATTGCTTGTAGTGTGAACCTTTATTTTGCTAGAAATTAAACAAACTACATAAACCGTTTTTATAACATTAAAGAAGGTTCCGCTGCTTTGTGTGCAATGGCCCTGGGGGCTCACGGGGTTCAGCCTGGGACTCCTCGACAGCATGGTATAGCCCAGTCCCGTCAGATTTCAGAAACTTAGCAGGGTCGGTACTTGGAAGGGAGACCCATTCAAGGCCCTTCCCCCGCATCGAGGCCAGACACCAGCTCCTTTTCTTGTTTTCCTGCTGTACGATTCTGAGATAACACGTTGCTTGTAGAGTGAACCTTTATCTTGCTAGAAATTAAACAAACTATATAAGCCGTTTTTATAAAATCAAAGCAGTGTCCGCTCCTTTGTGAGCAACGGCCCTGGGGGCCCACGGGGTTCATCCTGGGACTCCTCGACAGCGTGGTATAGCCCCATCTCGTCAGATTTCAGAAACTTAGCAGGGTCGGTACTTGGAAGTGAGACCACCCAAGAAGACTCTGCAGAGGAAGGCGCTGGGAAACTACCTCTGCTTCTCCCTTCCCTTGAAAGCCCCTTGCTGGGATCACCATCAGCCAGTTGCAACTTGACGGCACATGCATCCTCGTAAAACCCTGTTGGACAGTGTAGGGGCTTTCTCTGGCACGTTTGTACCGCTTCCACCCTGACATTCCCCTGCAACACAAAACTGAGTTCTGTCAGTTCACATGAATAAGTGTCAGCTGAGCCTCTGGTGTTGCTGCCATGGCTGGTGGGGGAGATGTTGGTCTGCTTCTGTCCTGGAATCTTAAGTTTCGTTTCTTCTTATGCTCTTCTTATCTATGTAGCCTCAGCTAGTGACCTTGGTACCTTGTTACTGCTTTCCCCTGATTGGACCTGGGTCGTCAGGGGGGCCCCTTTGAATTCTGTTTAACTCCCCGCTGGCGCGTTTTCCGGTAGTTCTAACACAGAATGTACTCAATAAACTTTACTTTTTTGAATGAAAGTTGTTGGGAACTGATTGCTGTGGGACTCTGACAATAAGCTGCACTAGTAGGAGGGAGAGTGAACAGAAACGAATGTCAGTTCAGAAATTGATCTTGCAAATGCGTTTTGCCTTCTGACAAGTCACATGTCTGTCACCACTGCAACGGCACGCAGATAAACCCCGTGCCTGGAGTCCTTTGCGATGTGCTCACGTTTCTTTCCCTTTGGATCGCTCCCCTCCACCCCACATTCATTCATTTATTCATTCGTTCGGCTTATAGACCACCCTCCCCCGTGAAACAAGGCTCAGGGCAGTGTACAACAACTGTATGAATACATTCATATCAATTAAACAGTTAAAACAGTAACAATAAATAAGTAGACAATATAATTAACACCAGAGAGCTGTGAAATGAGCTCCTTTTGCAAGTAAAGGCTCAGGGCAGTGTACAACAACTGTAGACAATGAAATGAGCTGTGAAATGAGCTCCTTTTGCAAGTCCTTTTGTTTCCTAAAGCAATGCGGTGCTTGGGGGCTGCTGTCAGAGAACGCAAGGCCAGAGCGGACTGGGCACCCTGAACGAGCTGTGTGGTTCTCAGGGCAGGATCCAAACCTCTTTCTTCTCCTGATCTGATTCTGGTGAAGTTTGGAAGACGTCCTTCAATAAACTCTTGTTCCTCTTCTTCCTTAGGCATCATCTTAGTACACGACTTAACCAACAAGAAGTCCTCCCAGAACTTGTATCGATGGTCTTTGGAAGCTCTGAACAGGGATGCGGCCCCCTCGGGAGTCCTGGTGACGAATGGGTGAGTGGGCAGAGATGCCGATCCGTCTTCACTTCTCTGGGTGGTATTTTAAGGACACCGACCATGGGATGAGAGACGCAGTGAGGTTACAGAAAGGGGAAAGAATTCTGTTCGTCTTGTGGGGTCATCACTCGCTGGAAGAGTTGCATACATTGTATGCAGAAGATCCCAGATTAAAGTTTGGGCAGGGGCTGTGGCTCAGTAGTAAAACATACCTGCTTGCTATGCAGAAGGTCCCAGGTTCAACCCCCAGCATCTCCAGTTTAAGAAGGATCAGGAAGTAGGGGATGGGAAAGACCTCCGCCTGAAACCCTGGAGAGCTGCTACCAGTCTGAGTAGTCAGTATGGACCTTGATAGCCTGAAGGTCTGGCTCAGTGTAACACACAGCTTCATGTATTCATATAAATCCCCAGCTTTGGCAGATAAAGTATCTCACATATAGCAAGGCTGGAAGAGATTTCCTCAGAGAGTCACTGCCAGTCCGGGTGGACGTTTCTGGGCTCGATGGGCCCCGCATAAGGCTGTTTCTTAGGGCTCACTGCAGAGTGGGGCCTCGTTTGTGTGTTACATTGTCTGTAGCACACGCTCCACCTCCCTCCACACCATAGGCTGCATGTGTCAGCGTGAGAACCTCTTCCAAGGAGTTCATAGCGTATATTCCGTGCAGGAGTAATGGCTACGAGTGTGGAAGGTCCCTTCAGGTTGCAGCCAACTTACGGAAACCGCATCAGGTTGTCAAGGCAAGAGACATTCAGAGGTGGTTTGCCGTTGCCTGCCTCTGCATAGCTGTCCTGGGTTTCCTTGGTGGTCTCCCATCCAAACACTAACCAGGGCTGACCTTGCTTGATTTCCAAGATCTGATGAGATCAGGCTAGCCCGGACTAGGGGTGGGCACAAACGGGCTCACGAGCCAAAATCTGGCCCGAACTCGGGCCGGTTCGATGCTCGGGAACCAATGTTCGGCAGCCATTTAACCCTTCGGTTTTGCTCCTTGTCCCCCTTCAAGGGGAGGGAGCAAAGCTGAAGGGTTAAATGGCTCACGGCCATGTAAACCTAACAGCTCAGTGGGTTCACTAAATAATGCTACATAAAGAGGAATGGTTGGAGGGGGAACCGAACTTGCCAGACCAGTTCAGACAGGACCCATTTGGGTCGGTTCGGGGTTTGGTTCATGGGCCTCACCAAACCGCCCTTTTTTTAGGTTCTTGCCCATTCCTAGCCTGGACCATCCACATCAGGGCAGAGTGGTACTAGATGCAGGTTACGTTCAAGTTTACAAACAAAGGGAAGAGGCAGCCATAGTGTTTCTGTTGGCATGGGATTGCCTTCCCCTCTGCCCAGGTAAGGCGATAAGGTTGTCAGCCTTCTCTGCTTAAGAACGTAAGAGAGAAGCCAATGTTGGATCAGGCCAATGGCCCATCTAGTCCAACACTCTGTCACACAGTGACCAAAAATACCAGGTGCCATCAGGAGGTCCACCAGTGGGGCCAGGACATTAGAAGCCCTCCCACTGTTCCCCCCCCCCCAAGTACCAAGAATACAGAGCATCACTCGCCCCAGCCTGAAAGTTCCTATCTCTACCTTGTGGCTCATAGCCCCTGATGGACCTCTGCTCTATATGCTTATCCAATCCCCTCTTGAAGCTGTCCATGCGTGTAGCCGCCGCCACCTCCTGTGGCAGTGAATTCCAAGTGTTAATCCCTCTTTGGGTGAAGAAGGAATTCCTTTTATCTGTTCTAACCCGACCACTCAGCAATTACATTGAGTGCCCAATGCTTGCTGGATTCAGTGAACAAAAGGCCATTAAGTATCGATTATCTGTCTTTAGCTGTCTGGGCACTTTGGTAGCTGAAGAAGCTTGCTCTCTTGTGCTTGTCATTCAATCCATAGTCCTTGTTTCTCATGGGCTGATGGTGTTTGAGAGATGCTGAAGATGAAATCAAGCCGACCACAGAGGAAAGTCCTCCACCCTCCTAAGTGGGTGGTAAATGGCAGTGGTTCCTAAGAAATACTACCATGGGGGAGGGTATTGGGGTTCAGTTTGATCAGAAAGATGGTCTTTTCTTTCTTTCTTTTTTTGGTGAACCTGTCTAAAGATAGTCATAGATAGTCGACTAAGGGGGAACACGATAGAGGTTTATAAAACCTCTATCTCCAAATACTAGAACTCCCTCTCTCCAGATACTAGAAGTCGAGGGAATTCAGTGAAGCTGATGGGCCGCAGGTTCAGGACAGACAAAAGGAAATACCACTTTACACAGAGAGTGATGGAGTGATGAAAATGTGGGGTTCGCTGCCAGAGGATGCAGTGATGGCCACAGGAATAAAGAGCTTGAAAAGGGGGATTAGATAGATTCATGGAGGATAAGTCTATCAGTGGCTACTAGCCATCCTAACAAAACTGTTGGCTCCTTCCTCTTATAACTTTAGCTCCAAACTAGTATCCTTTAAATTTTATTTTACTACCTAGCAGTTCGAAAGCAAGAAATTGCAAGTAGATAAATAGGTACCACTTCGGTGGGAAGGTAACAGCGTTCCGTGTGCCTTGGTGTTTAGTCATGCCGGCCACATGACCACAGAAACGTCTTCGGTCAGCGCTGGCTCTTCGGCTTTGAAACGGAGATGAGCACCGCAACCCTAGAGTCGGACTTGACTGGCTTTCGAGCAAGGGAACCTTTACCTTTACCTTTATCCCTCCTTTGGATTTTTAAACACAGCACGGCATTCTATACTTAGCCCCCTCCCCTGTTTTCACTTCCCAGCAAGGTATGTTAGGCATAGAAGGCCCAAGATCACCCAGTGAGCTCCGTGGCCGAGTGAGGATTTGAACCCAGAGCTCTCCAATTCAGTCTGACAGTCCTCCACACCACCAGCCTGCCTTTCTTCTCATATGCTGGTCTGTGCTTTCTCTGTGTTTCCTCAGTGCATAATCCTGCTTCCAAAAAGCAGTGTTTGCACACTTCAGTAGTTTGTTTTCAAATGCTCCCCCCACCCGTGATGTTAGCGGTTTCGGGATTCTGTTGAGGCTCCCCTTTGCCGACAGCCACGTCCGTCCTTTTATCGCACAGAGATTACGACCGGGAGCAGTTTGCTGATAACCAGATCCCGCTACTTGTCATTGGAACCAAACTGGACCAGATCCCCGAGGCAAAACGCAATGACGTCTTGACCAGAACGGCCTTCCTCGCTGAGGATTTCAGCGCAGAAGAAATTAACCTGGTCGGTACCTTTTGTTTGTCGATCTGGGTGCAGTCTTTTAATTGTGCAGAGAGACCTTTCCCGGGAAGCAGAGTTGACTGAGTGGAGTCCTGTTGCCACACACGTTCTCCCTGAAGGTCCTCAGCAGTGTTGTGGAAAAGAGGCCCCACCTCCCGGGGCCTGGGCATGAGGGAGAGGGGACAACCAGCAGTTTGAGCAGCAGTTTTAGGCTTCCTTGTGTGACACACTGTCTCTGTGTCAAGAAAGCCTGGTGGAATAACCACTGGCTCCATGGAACACTGGAAGTACCCATACGAAATGCACCCTCTTGGCAGGCATACCAGGAAAGCAGGAAAAACAGCAGCGGAGCAAAACAGTTTATTCTCAGTTGGTCCATTAACAGCAAGGGTTTTCTCGTCTTAGAGGAAACCCTTCTTCTCTCTGGCCTTCCTTTGCCTTGCTTCAGTCCTCTTGCTTCTATCCAGAACTTCGGTGCCAAAATAATTCACCTCTCAGAGCCCAAATCGCAGCACTGGCTTCCCATCCCCTTCTGGACATAAGAGAAGCCAATGTGGGATCAGGCCAGATGGACCATCCAGTTGGACACTCTGTGTCACACAGTGGCCAAAAATACCAGGTGCCATCAGGAGGTCTGGCAGTGGGGGCCAGGGCATTAGAAGCCCCTCCCACTGTGCCCCCCCCAGCACCAAGAATACAGAGCATCACTTGCCCCAGACTGAGAGTTCCATCTATACCTTGTGGCTAATAGCCACTGATGGACCTCTGCTCCATATATTTATCCTTGCATCCAATACACATTCCATCTCCTTGCCCTTCCTGGGCTTGCTCTGCCCGGTTTTTCCTCATTTCCTGGTATGCCTACCAAGAGGGTACATTTCGTATGGATACTTCCAGTGTTCCATGCAGCCAGTGGCTATTCCACCAGGCTTTTGGACATAGAAGTGTTGCCCGGGTGGGAAAATTCTCATGTGAAGCTGACCTGATCCGCAGCCATGCACCAGTGTGTACACCCAGGCCCTTGTGCCTGAGAAGTGCTTGGAGACTGCGGTTCCCATGAATACCAAAGCAAAGAGGCCTTTTGTGCGTTTCAGGACTGCACCAACCCTCGCTACTTGGCGGCCGGCTCCTCCAACGCTGTCAAGCTCAGTAGATTCTTTGATAAGGTGAGTAATTCAGTTAAGTGTCTTGTAAGTTTCTCTTCTGCTTTCAAATACAAGTCTGGGCCTTCGAACTGTAGATGTTGACTTGGGTATTGCACGGGCTGCTGGAATCCCAATTGTGTATGCTCAGCTGGCTGGGATTTGACAAGGTGAGGAATGCCAGACTTAGGCAACCAGCCACGGGCCTAAATCAGAGACACACACACACACACACCCCCGGGGAGCCTGCGGGAACCTTTGGGATTCCGACACGGGGTGGTGGATGCAGACACAAAATGGCTGCCACATGCACACCATGTGGTTGGGAGTAAGGTTATGCATAATTCTAATATTAACTCATTCACATTTCAAGCAGAATCTGCATTTCACAGGATGCCCTATAAAATGACAGCAGCACATGTGAAAGGGATCTGGGTGTTCTGGTTGATCACAGGCTAAACATGAGCCTGCAGTGCAATGTGACTGCGAAGAAAGCTAATGCAATCTTAGGATGCATTAACAGAAGCATTGTGTCCAGATCACGGGAGGTGGTCGTTCCGCTCTATTCTGCTATGGTCAGGCCTCACCTCAAGCGGAGGCCGGACGACCATCTTTCGGCTATGGTCCTGCAGAGTGCAGGGGGTTGGACTAGATGACCTGCAAGGTCCCATCCAGCTCTAACAGTCTATGATTCTATGAACATGTTATTTAAAAATATTTCCTTGTCTACCCACAGCTTACCTTCAGTTACACAGTGAGGGCCCCTCTGCTGTGCTGGCAGCTACTGCCAAAGCAGCGTTTTTAAACACCTGCAGCCAATCTGATCTTTCGGGGCCAGTCAGACGGCCGGCCAGCAAAAGCCTCCTCCGGCCCTGCCCACTTTCTAAAAATGGGCCACTGGGAAAGGGGCTGGTGGGCACCAGGTTGGGGACCCCTGAGCTAGCTTTTCATGGGCAGGCATTCCAAACAAGCAGGGCAAGAGGTTATTAGACAAAGGGAGAACGAGGTGATTGGGGCGAGGGAGAAAGAAGAGACCAAGCAGGGCCAGAGAGAGATGCAGGAGAAACCAGGTGCGGAGCAAGAATGCGTATGAAGTGCTTTGTTATGCTGGCAGAGACTGGAGGTGGGCAAAAACAGGAGAATTACGGATATAGTACATTTACCAAGCAAAATATGATTACCGTTATATAGATACCAAATAAATTATCTCTCCTTATATATAATTGAATAGTGGGTGCCAAAGTTCTAATTCTAAAATGCACTCCCTTAGTGTATGGCTGATGGCACTGCTCCTCAGCATATATCGCCACCAATCAGAAGGCAAAGCCCGGGTCCCGCCCACACCACCATGGATACACCTCAAACCCCCCCCCCCCCCGCAAGGCATTTGGAATTTTCAGTTGCATAACATACCTCATAGGGGAGAGGAGAATGGGTAACAATGGTTACCACTCTCCAGGTGAGGGCTACAGATAACTCAAACATACAAATGCTCTTCAGGTAGCAGAGATCAGTCCCTCTGGAGAAAACAGTGGACTCTGTCATTAAACCCTGCTGAGGTCGCCACAGGAAACTGACACTGTTTGCCCAAAGCCAGAGCACTCTCCCAGAGCCTCTTTCTAGATCCCGTTGTATTTATTTCCGCAACGGGCATTATTTCTAGTAAATCTATAATGGAGCCTTTGAATATTTTTTTTACTATTAACTTAGACATACCAACGTAGATCTTTAAAAAGACACACCTTCATAGATTCATAACAGTAACCATGTCGAAACAGCGTCAGTCTGGCTTACAGTACGTTTGTCGTTTGCAGACTTTAGTACATTCACGTACAATCCTCCAAAGTGTCTTTCTGAGTGGCTTCTGACAAAGACACTTGAGAGGATTGTATGTGAACGTACTGAAGTCTGCAAACGACAAGAGTACCATAAAGCAGACTGACGTCGTTCCTACGTGGTTATTATTATGAATCTATGGAGGTGTGTCTTTTTAAGACCTACGTTGGTATGTCTTTCTAAGATAATAGTAAAAAAATATTCAAAGGTCCCATTATAGATCTATAATTTATTTGGTATCTATATAACTATTCTCTACAGTAATCTTTTTTGCTTTGTATAGAGACTGAAGGCGGGCAGGCAGGAAGTTTCCCAGGTGTGCCAGTCTGACTAGTGACACTTCGGTCTGCTCTCAGGTTTTCAGAGAAAGCTCTGAGCATCTCCCGTGGTTAGGATTATGCAGCAGCACAGCATGCAGTGCTTTTTAATTGCCATCCCAGAAGCCTCAAGCTCTCCAACCCCCCCAAAAAGTGAAAACAAAGCCAGAGGTCCGTTCAGGGTCCAGACAACGTCCTCAGGCATTTTGTTTCCCGGTGTTTTTTTTTATTATTTCACTTATACAGAAGCTGTCCCTGTTATTAGTTTAGTTGGTTTTAATTTTGGAGATCTTTTAAAAAAATGCTTTCGGTTCTGAGAATAAGATGCATTGATATTTAGTCGTTAATGTTGGTTTGTAAAAGAGTTTGGGCGAGCAGGGCGGGTGATCATGTATGCAGACTTAGAAGAAGAGATTGGATTTATACCCCACCCTTCACTCAGAGTCTCAGAGGGGCTTACAAACCCCTTTCCCTTCCCCTCCCCACAACAGGCACCCTGTGAGGTAGGTGGGGATGAGAGAGCTCTTTCCATAACTGTCCTTGAGAGAACAGCTCTATGGCTTGCCCAAGTGAAGGAGTGGGGAATCAAACCCAGTTCTCCCAGATTAGAGTCCACGCACTTAACCACTACACCAAACTGGCTCTCTTAAAAGAATAAGGTAGATCTTCTTCCTCTTTCCAAAGGGAACCAGAAGTGGAGTGTTGCATGCATTATCTCTTGCCTTTTTGGATTCAAGAAGAGCAGTGACAGCATGCTGAGGGTGGGGGGAGAGCAAGTTAAGAACAACCGAAATACAGCCGTGATGTAATTACTCAGTGCAACTCTGTATAGTCAATTGTATTGTTTACCAAGCACATTCGTACAAATATATACATGCAAAAAGTATAACAGATAAATGTTTTAAATAAAGTACTCATGCCAAAGTTCAGTTCTAATTATTTCCTTATCAGGTTCTTCTCTGAAGTCTTCCAACGGGCCAGCTGTAACTTGCAGCAAAGAACTTTACACTGAGACAGATTGAAGTTGTGTAATAGAATTCTGCAAACCAATTTGACAAGATTGGTTTGACTGCCAGGTTTGCCTTGAGAAAGGACGGAAACGGGGATCTTTAGCTGGCCCGTTGGAAGCCTGGACAGTTGCGATGCTTGGACTAAACACACACGAGAAGAAACCGATAAGGAGATAATTAGAACCGAACTTTGGCCTGATACTTTACTTATTTAAAACATTTATCTGTTATACTTGTTGCATGTAAATGTTTGTATGAATATGCTTGGTAAAGAGTATAATTGACTATACAGTGTTTCACTGAGTAATTATATCACGGTCGTATTTTGGTTGTTCTTAACGGCTTTCCTTGTGATCTCTCGTATGTTGCTATCTATCGGGGGAGAGAACAAGGCAGAGTAAAAAAGGGGTCTGAAGAGGGATGACTCAGGGCTACCAGATGGCCAACGGGGAGGCAGAGACCAGAGCCATCCTGGTTTGAGACTCCTTGCAACTGATAGCCCTTCTGGACTACCATTGGCTTCCCTTCTACAGTATGGACCGCAATGACATGTGAACCCTCCTGCGCAGACCAGCCATGCTGGGAAACTGCGCCACATGAAAAGTACACTTATTAAACCGCTTGGTTTCTGACAAAATCTACCCTATCACGTCTTTCGTTAAAGTACCTAAAAGGCATTGCCCACATCCAATGCTCCCTCTAAGCTATGGAGTCCTGTGAGCAAAAATTCTACTTAGTGAACTACTGGCATTTAAGTTGTGAGCAGGTGATTTGGCTACTGCATAAAATTCCTTTGCTCTGGAGCCCTCCTTCCTGAGCTAAGACGAAAAGGAGTGAGCAGGAGGCTAGAAAACTGTGAGCTAGCTCACACTTAGAGGGAACACTGCCCACATCTATGCTCCCGAGGTTTATTCTGGGAATGGCTCTTGGCCAGGTGGGATAAAAATTCCTTCTGGTTTTGGAAACTAAGTCTGCAGACTTAGAAGGTTGAGCTGCTCGGGAAGCCAGAGCTGGAGCTTTGAGAATGAGGTTTCCAAACACCTGGCAAGACGCAGAAGAGTAATCGTACCTGCTCAGCTTTCCTTTCTAATATATTGTTTCAGGTTATAGAGAAGAGATACTTTTCACGAGATGGGAACCAGGTATGTATGTGTTCTTCTGTTTCTACATTTCTTGAGCCACGCTAGCTGTAAGTTGACCCTGCATTTATAAGCCCTTCAAAGATCGTTCCTTCGTTTACTTTAAATTATATTTTGTTCATAGCCTTTCCTTTTCATCATTCGTGGCTAAAATCCTAAAGACAACCCTTAGCTCTCATAGGTGAGGTTGCCAGGCAGTGCCATTTGAAAAGAGCAGGCGCCCTGAACAGCTGCCCTGCAAGCCGCGAATTCGCCGTTTGCAGGGCTCAGCAGCGGTCAGCCCCTGGTTGAAGAGTGGGCGCCACTCATGCCAGTCCTGCAAGTGGCGAGTTCATGGGACCAGCATCCCTACTCAGCAGGCCAGGGCTACAATTGGCTGGAGGTGTCCCACCATAATCGGGCAGATGAGAACCCTCGCCATAGCCCTCCCTCATGTGGCTGCTTGTATCTTCTGTCCTGGCCAGACACCATCCAAGGAAATGCCGCTTATTCTGCGTTGATGATTGCTGGTAAAACAATACCTTTAATGAGATTATGAGTGCGGAAAGCCATGGTAACAGCTTAAAACCTGAACGCTGGCCAAAGGAGAAAAGAAAGGGAGGAAGATGTGGAAACGCTAATGTAATTGACTGCAATTGCAAAATTCACTCTTGGGACGTAGCCTGCGACATTCCTAGTATACAGGATCAAGCTGGACAGTTGCCTGTGGCACTAAAAAAAAGAGAACGTAGACAGAAAGGTTGCCGGTCCCTCCTGGCAACTGGTGGGGGATGGGGGGGGATTTATTGGGAGCAGGAGGGAGGCTCTACCGAGGTGCAGCAACATGCCTACGTCGCTACTGCCTACGTGACCTGACCATAACATCTGGGACGTCGGGGTGACGCTCTGGTATTCTGGCAAAAACTCTATGGTAAATTTGGCTTCTACCATAGAGTTTTTGCCCAAATACCAGACCATCACCCCGACGTCTTGGAAGTGTTGACGTTACTTCCCGGTCACGTGGGCAGTGACATGCGTCACTGCACCTCAGCGAAACCTCCTTTTTCAGCATACGTTCCCCCCGCCGGTCAGCTGATGGGCGGCTGGGTGGTAGGGCCCGTCAGTGGGAGACACCCCCCACCTCTACCGGGGGGTGTCTGTAAACCCTAAAAGAAGGCCATCAAAGCCTTGGGCAGGGGTCTCTCCCAGTCCTGCTGTCTGAATGTTAAGCCTGTAACCTCTGGAAACGCAAAGCATTAAGACAGGACAGATTGAGGCAATTTTTTCCCCCAAGGGTTAGCATCCCGGTATGTAAGAAGTTTGGATTTGAATCCGCAGCCAGAAGAGCACAAGTTACAAGCCACTGCCGTGCCTAAACCACTGCACTGCAGCAGCCGATGACCCTGGTCCTGCCCTTCTCAGTCCCTGCAGACAGTAAGCCACTGAGCATTTACATGCGAGAGAAAGTCTAACCAGATAGGCTCTGCTCTCCTGTTTGTTTCTTTGCAGTTCCTTCTGGCTTTCTGCAAGGAGGCTCCTGAATCCTCTGTCTCCTTTATTTATAATTTTAAAATGTATTCAGTTAAAGAAAAAGTTGGATGCAAACCCTTTACAAATTCGTCTTCATTTCCATAAACGAATCATCTAAACCTTGTTAAGTTCAATTCAGCATGCGAGTCAGAGTAACATTCCGTTAATCAAACTTACCTAACTTTATACTGGGGGCTGCTGTGGCTTAGAGGTTAAGACACTGAGCTGCAGACCGGAAGGTCGGCAGTTTGAGACCTGAGTGCTGCGTGATGGAGTGAGCTCCCCATCTCTGGCCCCAGTTCCTGCCAACCTAGCAGTTCAAAAGCAAGAAATTGCTAGATAAATAGGTACCGCTTCGATTCCATTTACGCCCGAAGTAATGCTTCTGAGTATACTACCTAAAGACTTTGAAAAAAGCAACAGATATTTAATTATCTACTTTACTACAGCAGCAAGAATGCTATATGCCAAATACTGGAAGGCACAAGATGTACCAAAAAAGCAGGAATATATACAAAAACTGATGGAAACAGCAGAAAGTGATAAATGGACATTGTTGATAAGAGGATCCACAAACTATACATTCCAGAACACATGGAGGCGCTTCTATAATTGGTATAATAGTGCAAATGATTGTAACCTAAAAATGTAATCACTAGAGCAAAGTATAGGTTAGAATATTGAGATAGCAGGTACAGATGTTGGTTTTAAGATACAAAAATGTGAGCTCATAGAAAATAATGATACGTGATATTGTATTAGATAGAGAATATCTAAGAGGCAATTACTGGAAACTTAAACATTTGATACCCCCATTTGTGTTATATATGTGTATGTTCGGTTTGTCTGTTATGAAAAAACAAATGAAATTCTACCCTCTGAGGGCAGATTTAAAAAAAAAGATAAGTAGGTACCACTTCGGCGGGAAGGTAACAGTGTTCCATGCGCCTCAGCGTTTAGTCATGCCGGCCACATGACCACGGAGAAGTCTTCGGACAGCGCTGGCTCTTCAGCTTAGAAATGGAGATGAGAACCACCCCCTAGAGTCAGATTCGACTGGCTTTCGAGCAAGGGAAGCCTTTCCCTTTAACTTTATACCATGCAAGTTTAGTGAACGGTACGGAGTCCTTTCGTTTCTCCAGCCACTCGTCTTTGGCGTTATGTTCCTTTTCCGGTGTCTGGCAAAGACTATTCTTACAGAGGTTATGGCATTTAAAACAAATCCTTGAGTATCTGCGGAAAGGAGGTCTTCATGACTCAACAAGTCAGACTAGATTTGAGTCCAGCAGAACCTTAGAGAGAAACAACATTTTTGTCATATGAACTTTCAAGAGTCATATCTCCCTTCGTCAGCTTTGACTCAGAGGCTCGTACCTTGGAAACCTCCTTGGTCATAAGGGTGCCGCTGGACTTGAAGCTAGCTGTTCCTTTGCAGGCCAACACGTTCACCTTCAGAAACAACCTTTAGGGGAGAAAGGTAACTCTTGACCTGTCCTTGAGAAGAGGGGCGGTTCCAGAACTCTCCGTAGTCAGAGGCTGGCTGGCACATGGCTCCACTCGAGGTGATACCCGGGCCTTTGTAGCTTTGCTCTTCGTGCCTTTTTATTCGACCCCATACTGAAGGATGGCTGGAAGCCTCACGCAGGCGGATTTAATCTGGGGCGAGGAGAAACAGACTAACGCCCGTGGACCTCTTCTGCCCAGCTGCTGTTGCGAATGAGCCCCAATCAGAATGCCGTGGCTGGTCGAGGGGAGCATCAGCTGACAGAGAGGGTGGCGCATGGCTGAGCAGAACTAGCACGGGGAGAGTGTGGGCTGGGAGAGCAAGATTCAAGTCCAGTACTGCCTTAAAGACCAACAAGACTTCTAGGGCCTACGCTTTAGAGCAGGGCTCCCCAACCTCTATGAGCCTGTGGGATTCTGGCACAGCTCGGTGGGCACAGCCCCCAAACAGCAGCCATAAAATGGCCGCCGCAAGGAGGCCCATCCAGTCACAAAATGGCCGCAACCATTTACCTTCGACCACATGGTGAAGATCCTCGTGCAGCAGGGGCGGCCGCCATAGATCAATGTTTTCAAAAGTCCGCACAGTCAATCAGATCACCGATAGGTACCAAGAAGCTTGGCTGGGCGAAAGCCCCGTTTTCTAAAGACCCTTGGTGGACGCCAGGAGAGGTGTTGGTGGGCGCCGTGGGACCAACAGGGAGCTTGTTGGGGGGCCCTGATTTCGAGAGCCAAGGCTGGCTTCGTCACATCTGACTCTAGAAAAGTTACCCTCTGAAAATCTTGTTGGTCTTTAAGGTGCTGCAAGACTCAAATCTTGCTCTTCGGCCACAGACCAATACAGCTGACCCCTCTGAAACAGGCAGGAAGAATTAACAGATGTGAAAGTCAAGGCCGCTGTGTGTTTGGCATCAGTATAAAACAGAAGTCACCATTGGCCACAGGAATAAACAGTTTTAAAGGGGGATGAGATAAATTCATGGGGAATAAGTCTATAAGTGGCTGCTAGCCATGGTGGCTGAGGGGAACCTCCACGTTCAGAGGCACTAATCCTCTGAGTCCCAGAGCCAGGAGGCAACATCAGGGGCAGGCCTCAGCCTCTGTGCCCTGTTGTTGGCCGTCCAGAGGGACTGGTTGTCCATTGTGTGAGACAGGAAGCTGGACTAGATAGACCACTGGTCTGATTCAACAGTGCTCCTCTTATATTCTTAGGAAGGCCTTGGCCTCTGTGCCCTGTTGTTGGCCGTCCAGAGGAACTGGTTGGCCACTGAGTGAGGCAGGAAGCTGGACTAGATGGACCACTGGTCTGGTCTAGCAGGGCTCCTCTTATATTCTTAGGAAGGCTTCGGCCTCTGTGCCCTGCTGTTGGCCGTCCAGAGGAGCTGGTTGGCCACCATGTGAGACAGGAAGCTGATGGACCACTGGTCTGATTCAACAGGGCTCTTCTTATATTCTTAGGAAGGCCTTGGCCTCTGTGCCCTGTTGTTGGCCGTCCAGAGGGACTGGTTGTCCACTGTGTGAGACAGGATGCTGGACTAGATGGACAATTGGTCTGGTCCAGCAAGGCTCTTCCTATGTTCTTTTAATTGGCTACAAGCCACACAGTAGCTGAGGAGAACCTCCACATTCAGAGGCACTAAGCCTCTGAATCCCAGAGCCAGGAGGCAACATCTGGGGAAGGCCACGACCTCTACGCTCTCTTTACTTAGCGGTCCAGAGGAGCTGGTTGACCCCTGTGTGAGACAGGAAGCTGGACTAGGTGGACCTTCACTGGTCCGATCCAGCAGGGCTCTTCTGATGTTCTTACAGGCTCTCTCTTTTTCCCCTTTGAACAGATTCCTGGCTTCTCGGAGAGAAAGAGATTTGGAGGGGGCTTTGTGAAGAGCCTTCACTACGACTGATGATCTCTGGCTGCGAAGGGACTGTGGGGAAATAATTTATTTCACCTTTTAAGGACAGCATTCCTGTCTTTGCGGCCAATGCTTGGGCTAAGGCAAGTCAAGATTCTCCAGCACACCAGTGATCAAGGCTGGTCAAATAGAGGTGCTCATGGACGTAGACAGGAGGGCATATTCCCAGATCTCATTTGGAGACCAGGCACAGTTTTGGTCCTTTTGGGAACACGAGACATTTTTGACTGTCGTGCAAAAATCCCAGTACTGCACGCTCTCACGCAAAAGCGTAGCGTGTTTTTTTTTCCCCTCGCGACTTGAAAGATTTCTGAATCAACAGCCCCTCCTAGCGGAATGACCCTTCTGCGTCTAAAAACTAACCCAGGAGTCAAAGATTTCCATGGAATGAAAACAACATCATTCTAGTTTATTTTACCGTACTCCAGTTGAGGTTGTGCCACTAATTGTAAATGGGATCCTGTCTTAGAAATTGATTAATAAAGAATTGTTCAAAGATACATGAGGGAAGTGGGAAGATGTCTGGGGGAAATGGCAGGCTGAAAATCAGTTAAACAAGTATAAAGCCAACAGTCGTGATAGTCTGACCCACAATCAAACAGTCATAAGACTTACAAAGAATGCTGTTTATGTACTGCAATCTAAATCACTGCAACATGATACACAAATCAATAGAAAATCCTTGCGATACTTGTTTAACTGATTGAGGCTGAGAATCAGGCCCGTAGCTAATGTGGGGCCTGTAGGGCATGGCCCCCTAGCTTTTCTTCCAGGCTCCCTCCCCTGGGTTGGCCCCATAGTGAATTAATGTAATTAATTTTGGTTTGATTAGCTGCACCACACCCGAGGCCCCCTCCCAAAAAAAGCCCTAGCTACAGGGCTGCATCAACAGCAACGGCGAGGAGTGTTAGCAAGAACAACATCTCGCACGGCCCTCACTTGGTTGTCTGACTGCCACCATGCCATCCTAAGCAGAGTTACACCTTTCTAAGCCCATTAACTTCACTGGGCTTAGAAAGGTGTAACTCTGCTTAGGATGGAGACTGCCAGCTATTCAGTTTGCGCGCTCCTAAAACCCAAGAGTTCTGATTTTAAAACCTGTTTACTTTTTCAGCCTCGCTTTCTCTTTAGAGCATTACACAGTTAATGGTGACAACAAAGTACTCTTTGAAGTCCTTTGCAGTTGATCCAGAGGAGGAGCCGACAGGACAGTCAGTGTGTGGCTGGGCAAAAGCTGGAACTGCGGCTGAGAGAACGCAGTTTGGTGGCAGGGGATACCCTGCCCAGTTAATTAGGCCACTAGTTTTAACCGATGCGCATAAATGCAATATTTAAGTTTTTTAAAGAAGTTAAATTTAGAGAATTTTAAAAAGCAGCATACACTGTTCACATTTATCATTAACTAATGTTTTTCGATTTTATTATACATGTTTCATGTATACTTCCCTGGCATGAGAATCAATGGAACTCAGCCGGCTAATTTCTGCGTGATTAAAAAAAAAAATCGTAATACATTTATTAGCCAGGAGCAAAAAAAAGAAGTGAAACTTAATTCTGTGAGTTCAAGGGAGCTCCTTGGTTTCTGCACTCATAAATGAAGGGAACTGTCAGGAGCGCAGGGCTCTGTTGGGTAGAGGGAGAGAAAAAGGAGTCAGAATTCTTCTGGGTTTAGGCAGTCTCTTCCAGGAACCCAAGTTGGCTGGCACCCAAAGACCTACGTGTTACAGTTCATCAGATCAGCTAATTGTTAAAACCTATTAAAGCTTTTAAGTTCTATACTGGTACAGGAAATTTTGTAAAATAAAATCTTGCTAAGCTTGTGGAAGTGATGTAAAAGAAAATAATCTAGCTCCTAGATTTTTTGGGGGGGTGTCTTAGTCACGAAGGATTTATTAATGAAGGCAGATGAAAGTTCCTCTTGAGCCTATTAGGAGAATGGATGGACACTGATACTAGGCCTACAGGCTTCCTGCAATTTTAAAACAGCACAGGTGTCAGGAACAGGCGGCATCCTTGAAATGTAAACAATCAGCGATTACACAGTAAACATGAAAAATAAAAAAAACTGCAAAAAGATGCTAAGAAAAAATACATAACAATTTACTAATGAGCAACACAAGTATAACTGATAGTAATACACTAAGAATACCACTTAAGTAGTATTTACACAAATTCAAATGGTAAATCCTAAATTTTTTCAGACGTCCAACAGATAAGTTATCAACAATCCGACAGGTAAGTCTACAATTTCTCAATAATACAACAGATGCAGTGTTTACAAAAATCCCACAGGTAAAACCAGTATTTGTACAGGTAAGTTTTCAACAGTCCGACTGGTAAGTAGACAATACTTGAAATCCAACAGGTAAGTCTACACTGGAGACGAAGACTCTAGATCTTATAACTTCGTTTCGAATAGTCTTCCTCAGTAGAGGCTGATTAGGGAACTCTTAAAGGACTCATCAATGTTTCCAAGGTAAACAACAGCAGCAAAACAGCTTTCCAGTTTATCAGGAGAAATATATTAATAGGGCAGCCAGTCAATATTCAAAGAGGAAAAACCTTCAAAGTCTTATGTTGCTGGTATGCCTCATTAATTAGTAAATTATTATATATTTTTCTTAGTGTCTTTTTGCACAGTTTTTTTTTTTAATCTTTTCAGGCATCCTTGAAATGCACAGGGAAGGCAGTATGAAACATGGTCAGAAAAGCCCTGTGTTTCACATGACTCTTCCTTCTTGCTGTGTCCCTTGAAAGTATGGAAATCTGGAGATCCTCCAGACTGTCATTCTCTGTAGAAGGGAGGAGGAGAATCAATGAAAATTAAAGTCCATTCTGTGTAGATGCGGGATTGCAATCTGATGGGTTTTTTTTAAAAACACATCTTTTTTACCTCTAAAATGCTGACGCTCGACTGGGCATCAGCAAAGAAACACCTAGAAATTCATTGCTTCCCAAACTGCACTCTGCCGTACCTTGCTGTCAAAAGGCATTTCTTCTGTTTTGCCACAAGATACCTTCTGTTATTGGGGAATTTAAAAAATCTTTAGATTTGTGGGA